ATCAGTTCGAGCTCAAGTAAAACAGATATGAATCTTCCAGAAATTTCACCACAACAACAGATAATAACTAAGTGCAACAATAAATAAAAACAAGTACAACCTCTCAAGGCAGCAGTCACTCAACTCATCACAACTTATACTCTCGGCTCTCAGCCCTCAATACACACTCTCAATAGGTACATGCGCTTACTAGGGGTGTGCAGACTCCGGAGGGGCTCCTTTCAGCCCAAGCACTATATCGTTGAAGCGTGCAGCCCGACCCAATCATATAACTAACCATAAGGCTCGTTGCAGCGTGCAACCCGATCCACAGTACATAAATAGCCATAAGGCTCGTTGCGGCGTGCAACCCGATCCATATAACATCACATAGCTCACTGCTCGGCACTCAGGCCCTATCTCAGTCACTAACCTCTCCATCCCCTCGGGCTCACAGAATATCATAATAATCAGCCCAAACAGAGAATACAACAAGTATCAATAAGAACTGAGAGGGAACAAAGATGTAACACACAAGTAAGACTGTGACTGAGTACAAGACAATAATTAGCAGTCAACTTAACAAGTATACGACCGATGCAGGTCCCAACAGTGATATCATATGGCCTAAGCATCGTTTCTAACATGAAAGGCAGTCAATTGCTCAATGACGAGGAAAAACAAGTAATAACAATGGCTATTCGACTTTGCAGTCTCACGGGACTGACAAAGTGACAATGCCTCGCGGTGCACGCTCACACGCCCGTTACCTAGCATGTGCATCACCTCCAAATACTCACATCATACCAATTCTCGGGGTTTCATACCCTCAAAACCTGATTTAAGATTGTTACTTACCTCAAACCTAGCGAATCTCTACTCCGAAATGCCTTTGCCTCTCAAATCGGTCTCCAAACATCCCGAATCTAGCCACAAGTAGAACAATACATTCAATATAGGCTAAAGGGATCAATTCCACAAGAAAAGTACTAAATGATAGCCAAAAATCTGAAATTAGCCCGAACCCGGCTCTCAGACCCACGTCTCGAAATCCGACAAAAGTCACAAAATCCAAAAGCCTATTCACTCACGAGTCTAATCATACCAAATTTACTCAAATTCGATAACAAAATCCCATTCAAAACCTCAAAATCCCAACTCAAGTGTTCTTCCTCTTTTCCCCAATTTCTCACCCCCAAACCACAAATTAGATGATAAAATTAAAGATGAAATCATATGATTTAACCCAAACCAAGTAAAAATCACTTACCCCAATCAACTCCACGAAAATCCCTTCAAGAATCACTCAATTTCGTGTTCTCTAGCTCAAAATATTCAAAAATAGGTTCAAACCCTCGTTTTTTAAATTAATACTGCCTGTCCAGATATCCTTCATCGCAATCGCAAAGCACAACTATGCTACCCCACATTTGTACCCTACGCGATCGCGAAATCACCCACACGATCGCGGATCACTGCCTCTCATACCTATGTGATCGCATCCTGTTTCACGCGATCGCATAGATCATTGGCCACACCTCCCCTCCTGCTCAAATCCTTCTATGCGAACACGACCTTAGCTACGTGTTCGCGAAGCAAAACATCGCACACATATGCGACCGCGTTCCTAACTCTGCAATCACGTAGAACAAACTCACCTCTACCCCGAATAAGCTTACGCGATCGCGAATGAATCCCTGTGATCGCGTACAAGGAAACCAGAACCTGCTGCAAGCAGACTTCAGCTATCAAGCCAACTCCAAAAATGATCCGTTAATCACCCGAGGCCCCCGGGACTTCAACTAAACATACCAACATATCCCAAAACATCATACAATCTTAGTTGAACCTTCAAATCACTAAAAATAACATCAAAACACCAATTACACCCGGATTCAAGCCTAAGGAATTTCTAAACTTTTAAATTCCACAAACGATGCCGAAACCTACCAAACCACGTCCGATTGACCTAAAATTTAGCATACAAATTATATTCAATATTACGGACCTATTCTAACTTTCAGAATCGGAATCCGATCCCGATATCAAAAAGTCAATCCCCCGGTCAAACTTTTCAAAATTTGACTTTCGCCATTTCAAGCCTAAATTAGCTACAGACCTCAAATTCGCAGTTCAGGCACGCTCCAAAGTCCAAAATCATCCAACGGAGCTAATGGGACCAACAAAACTCCATTCTGAAGTCGTGTTCATACACTTCCGACTACGGTCAAACTCCTGAGACTTAAACATCCATTTAAGCAGAAACAGATACGGAAAAAATAGTAAATAGGGGATCGGGGCTAATACATTCAAAACGAAGGTATTACCGTGCCATTCAATGTGATATGTTGAATATATTCCTCATACCAGGAAAGTTATGAATTTAATGAGATAAATGCACGAAGGTGTTACTGTGCCATTTGATGTGATATCTTGAATATATTTCTCACACTAGGAAAGTTAAATGAAGTGTCACATGGTGACTTTTACTTGAAAGATTATATTCGAAAGGTATTTACTTGAAAGAATTATATTCGAAAGATATTTACTTGAATGAATTATATTTGAAAGATATTTATTTGAAAGAATTATATTCGTAGGATATTTATTTGAAGGAAGTATATTCGGGATATATTTGATTGTACGGATTACATTCTAAAGATTTTTATTTGAAAAACTTATTGGTAAAAGATGTATATTTTGAAGGAATTGATTAATTGGTTGTACTTGTGTTTATCACCTTCCTCTCCGTCACCCTTTTCAAGCCCCCCTCCCTCCATAAATAGAATTGTGCTAGTATATATTATTTTTTAATTTGAGATATTTATGGAAAAATTATGAGAGAGTTTCTCTTTTTTTTCTCCTCAAATATCAGTGTTGAGGTATTTTTGGTTACAATTTTCTCACGATCAAATCAAAGAGATACTTGCTTCTCATGAGGTATCTTTTTAGCGCTTTTATTCTCCGTTAGTTTTTATTGAAAATATATATGGCCATGAAACCAAGAAAATGACTATGGAAGATAAAAAATTATGGGCTAAATGAAATAGAACCCAAAGGTTTGTTTAACATGCTTGAAACACATATATGCTTCTTCTTGCAGTGAGAAGTTTAGGATGTTGGTTGATGTGCTCCAAGTGTTGATTCGGATTAGGGGTGTACCTCGATAGAAATTTATATTTTACAGGAACATGCTTGTTTCTTAAAAACGACTTCTCTAAAGTTCCAATGCTCCTAGATTTTTAACTTTCTTATTCGAGATTAGCAACAACATCGTATATTATGATCTTTTTCAATAGTCTTAAAAATGAAGAAACTCTATATTCATGTTGTGTTTTGGGTCCTCCAACTTCATCTTATACGTCGAGTTTGAACAAAAATTGAATTCTTTCGCGTGAAAGTATTATGCACAAAGCAATAAACGAAGGAGAACCTCAACGATTAAACATTGAGAACAAAGAAGATTGAAAATTTGAGAAAGATATCAATATAGGCAGGATATTAATAAGTTTCATATATGTGTTTATCATAACTTATTTATAACGATGGTGATTGAGTCATCTTTCACTAATCTTTACCATTCATAAAGATTTAATATAATGATTTAAAAAACATTCAAGGTTAATATAATATTTTTTAATTCTCATCACCTATTAATCTCAATTTTTATTAAAAATAAAGTATAAAGATAACATATATTTTGAATAGTTCAAATATATTTCAAAGTTAATAGAAGGGTTCGTACATATTTCTTTTGCAATTTCTAATCATCTAATTGTATGGGTCAAAATATGCTTTCATTAAAATTTGACACGAAGCGGTATCGTAGAAAGCGATATGGTCGAGGTCGATTAGTAAATAACGAGGCTCGTAGCCGAGCAGTCAATAACGGCCGAGGTCGAATGCTAACGGCTAGTTTTTGTAATAGAATATTCTATTAAATATTCTCGGTGTCTATACTTTTAGGGTTGACTGGGGAATGTCCCATATAAATAGAAAAAGACATAGGGAGAGAAGGGGGATAATATTTTCGGATAAGAACATTCTTGAAAAAACAGACTTTCTCTCTAGATAGAGCACAATCACTACCTTTCTAAAGAGATTCGATTGTCTACTATTCCACACTTTTTCCATTAGATCCGAGATGGGTCCCAACATTCTAGTATTTGTCTATCATTCACCATTGTCAGAAAGAAGAATCATCCACTTCATTCAATATTGGGTGAATCATTCTCCTTCTTTACTTTAATTTTATTTATCGTTATTTATTGCTTGATATTCCCCCATCATTAATGATCTTGAAACATTGAATATACACCACATTTAATCTTCTCTCAACACTACTCTTGCGTGATTGGTGTTAATTTATATATATGAAGTTATTATCATTAACTAGGTTTAGCCCTTCGTCATATAATATTAACTAGTTTAATCAAAAGTCTACATTTTTTGGTCAAACAATTTGGCGCCGTCTGTGGGGATACCTAGTTAAACCTTTAGTTTCTTCTAGATCTATAACTGACATAGTTCAAAAAAAAACTCATACTTCCTCGTACACCTAGATCTGACATGGCGGGTAAAGGAGAAAAAAGGATGAAGGCAGTGGCCGATCTCACTACCAACCTCTTAAACACCATCAATGAGGTCTCTGAAATAGAAGGCGAAGGCATAATGCCTAACACCTCTCCCGGACGAAGTGAATCACCCTTCCCTAACGGCAGTACCACAGCATCCCGTGGTAAAGAAGCCTCCACATCCATAGCGGAAGAGGCGCCACCAGCGGTGAAGTAGCTACTCGAACCTTGGCTGACAAATACGCTAACCGGCATCCTCAACAAGCCCACTCAGGAGGCAGTTATGCAAGGACTTGCATTGCACCAGCAACAGCCATGCAACACGGCCTTCTCCCTTCAATAACAGGTATCACTCATAATATGAATAATGCAAGTAACGACACCCTCACGACCATTCTGAGGAAAATGGAAGAAATGGAAAATGAAAACAAAATGCTTTGGGATCAAATGAGAGAACACCAAGAAAGAGTCAACAAAATACCGGGTGCCCCAAAACTCTTGCCAAAAAGAGATGTTGGTCGGTTCGTCGAGCAACCCTACAATGATGAAGCCGCCCCTCATGCCATACCCAAGACGTTCAAGATGCCGCCTTATCTGAAAATTTATGACCGTACGACCGACCCCGAATTTCATGTAACTCACTATGTTACTGCAGTAAAGGGCAATGATCTCACAAAAGAACAAGTCTCCTCCATCTTGCTGAAAAGGTTCGGCGAGACCCTTACCGGAGGAGCATTGACTTGGTATTCACAGCTGCTCGCGCGCTCCATTAAAACATTTGAAGAGATGGCTGACAAGTTCGTAACAGCCCATGCTGGGGCTAAAAAGGCGCAGGCAAGAGTGAACAATATATTTGCCATCAAACAATCACCCAGAGAGGGATTGAGGGACTTCCTCACTCGATTCAACAGAGTAAGGATGACCTTACCGAATGTATCTGAAGGAATGGTTGTAGCAGCTTTCCAGAACGGGCTGAACAGGAATGGCTCGAGGGCGACCAGAAAACTATTAAACCGGCTTATGAAATATCCACCAACTACTTGGGATGAAATACACAATGCCTACTGTGCCGGCGAAGACGACCTGAATGGGCCGACTCATCGATTGACCTCGGTACAAGCCGAAACCAGGAAGGATCGAAGAAATGATGCCAAGAGAGATCTTACAGCTCCACAATCCAACCGAGAAAGGCATAAGCCATATGTCAGAAGCGCCATCATGCCCCTCTCCCGCTACGAAGAGGGGCCATCTAGGCCAAGGACAGGGACTCACCGGAATGAGAGAGGTATGCCCCATTTACTATCCGCTCACAATTTTTGTATCTCACACTCAGAAATAGTCTATGCATTGGAGAAGCTTGGACCAAAAGTAAAGTGACCACAAAAGATGAGGTCAGATCCAAGCACTAGAAAATCAGATGCCCTCTTCGAGTTCCACCAAGAGTGAGGTCACAAAATTGAGGACTGCATCGCCCTAAGACAGGAGGTCGTGAACATGCTTCATCAATGACACCTCAAAAAATTGTTGAGCGACCGAGAAAGGATCAACTTTGCCCGAGGACATGAACAACACCAGGGACCTCCGAAACCACCCTCATCGACTTGCACCATTCAAACGACCATCGGGGGCGGAGACGACATTTCGATCAACAGCGTGAAGTTCGCCACAAGCTCAAGTGGTCAATCACTCATGAACGGTACGATGAACTCAAAGAAAGTATCATTTTCGACAAGTCAGATACCCACGGTTTGGGTTTACCTCACTATGATGCCCTCGTTATCACTTTACGAATATTAGATACAGATGTAAGACGCGTTATGGTGGACGAAGGGAGCGGCGCGTGCATTGTCCATCATCGAGTACTTGCACAAATTAAATTCGAGGATAAGATAGTACCGCGCTACATCACGCTAACAGGTTTTAACAATGCAATTGAACGAACATCCGGGGAAATCACACTCCCCGTCCTGGACGGTGGCGTCATTATAGGAACCACATTCCACATCATGGACCAGGATACGGCATACAACGCCATAATAGGTCGACCTTGGATACACGCCATGAGGGCTATCCCTTCCAACTTGTACCAAGTTATCAATTTTCCAACCCCATGGGGAGTATACAGAATACGAAGAGAACATCGCACATCTCAAGAATGCTATTGCATTACCCGGGATTGTACATACACACAACAAATGAAGGGCAACGTAGAGGATGTATAGCAATTAACTGTGTCGAGGTCGAGTTGTGATGAAAAGGCGGACGTCTTCAGAGATCCTAAAACAATAGACGACACGGGATCAACCGTAGAAGACCTCGACCCCGTCTAACTTGATAAAAATGACCATAGCAAGAAAGCCTGCATCGGCCGCAAGCTTCAAGAACCAGGTAAATTCAGTCAATTCTTAACTACTAACGCGGGCTTGTTTGCTTTTTACCATGCAGACATGCTAGGTATCCCGAAGTAGGTTGCCACACACAAGTTGAACGTCGACCCATTCTACCCCCCGGTAAGGCAGGTTAGGAGAAAGTTCAATTCCGCAATAAACAATGCAGTCCGCGAGAAGGTCGAAAAATTATTAGAAAACGGCTCCATCAGGGAATCAAAATATCCCCAGTGGGTCGCCAATGTGGTCATGGTAAAAAGGAAGAACGGAAAGTGGTGGATGTGCGTAGACTTCACGGATTTAAACAAAACATGTCCTAAAGAATTCCCGCTACCACACATCGGCCAGCTCATTGACGCAATGGCCGGGCATGAACTGTTGAGCATCTTAGATGCCTACTCGAGCTACAATCAGATCCTTATGGAAGAGGAAGACCATGAGAAGACTACCTTTGTCACCCACCAAGGAACGTACTCCTACAGGGTGATGCCCTTCGAACTAAAAAATGCGGGGGCGAAATAGAAAAGGTTGGTGACCAAAATATTCAAAGACCAACTTGGCAAGACCATGGAAGTCTAATAGATGACAAGTTGGTCAAGTTAAAAAAGAAAGGAGATCACATCGACCACCTGAAAGAGGCCTTCGACATACTCGGGCGATATGGGATGAAACTAAACCCTGAGAAATGTGTGTTCGGTGTAACTTCATGAAAATTCTTGGGCATCCTAGTATCACCAAGAGGCATCGAGGTCAATCCCGTCCAAATCAAAGCCATTGAGGGAATACCAGAACACTTAACCAGCAAAAAACAAGTTCCGAAGCTGACCAGCCGCATCGCCGCCTTGTCGAGATTAATCTCACGATAATCTATTAGATGTCACAAGTTTATCGACATTCTCAAGAAGGACAACGGACTCCTATGGACATCCGAGTGCGTTCAAGCCTTGAACGAGTTAAAATCCTACCTATCATTGCCACCATTGCTTGCCAAAGCAGAACCAGGGGAACGTCTTCTCGTCTACGTTGCCGTATCCGAAGTAGCGGTGAGTGCAGTCCTAGTACAAGAAAATAAAGGTACGCAATCCCCTATCTATTACCTTAGCAAAATCCTAGTAGACGCCGAGACGAGGTATCCCCACCTCGAAAAACAGGCCTTGGCCTTTATCATAGTTTCACGAATGCTTAGACCCTACTTCCAATGCCATCCGATCTCGGTAATCACAACTTTCCCCTTGAGAAGCATCTGGCATAAGCCCGAGCTATCAGGAAGATTAGCTAAGTGGGTCATAGAATTAAGCGAGCATGATATCACATATCAACTGCGGACGTCGATAAAATCAAAAGTCCTCACCGACTTCATCGCTGACTTCACCGCAAAAATAATGCTCGAAGTCGAAAAAGAAGCCGCCCACGCTTCTCCGTGAACACAAGATCTATGGATTTTGTACACCGACGGTGCCTCCAATGCGTCAGGGGACGGACTGGGACTTGTACTCGAAGTGCCGACAGGCGAAGTGGTTCGCCAGTCCGTAAGGTACCCGGACTTGACTAAAAACGAGGCCGAGTATGAGGCCGTGATTGCAGGGTTAAGGCTAGCACTCAAGTAGGGGGCGAGGCGGGTCATCCTACGCTGCGACTCTCAACTCATCGTCAACCAAGTCACAGGGACTTTTCAGATCAAAGAGCAAAGGTTACCAAAATACCAGGCCGAGATCTGTAGACTATTGCCCGATTTCAACGAGTGCCAGTTCAACCAAATCCCTCGAGCACAAAACGTCGAAGCAGACGACCTCGTCAAATTAGCGGCAGCAACTAAAAGAATAACCGGAGAAGGAAATGTGGTCACCCTCCTCCACTCATCGATAGATCAAATCGAGGTAAGGACCATAAATCTAGCTTGGGACTGGCGCAACCGTATTATTACATTCCTATAGGACGACGTACTCCCAGATGATAAAAAGGAAGCCAAGAAGCTCCGGATACAAGCGGCCACGTACAACATCATTCACAACGACCTATACAAAAGGACGTATGGCGGCCCCCTAGCGAAATGATTAGGCCTGAATTAGAAGCGGCGCAGACTGGAAGAAGTCCACGAAGGCCACTGCGGAGCTCACTCAGGTAATCGAGCTCTGGTTAGATGTCTCATACGGGCAGGTTACTACTAGCCTGCCATGAAAAACGAGGCCGCAGACTTCGTAAAAAAAATGCGAACAATGCCAAAAAATACCCCAATGATCCATCAAGCGGGCAAGCATATCAAAAGAATACTTTCTACACCATACCACGCCCCGGGCAACGGGCAAGCAGAATCTTCCAATAAATCAATGTTGAACATCATGAAGAAAAAGCTTGAGGACGCCAAGGGATTATGGTCGGAGCTATTACCAAAAATGTTGTGGGCCTATCGCACAATGCCAAAGACGAGTACAGGAGAGACACCCTACTCTTTAGTCTATGGGACTGATACGGTAATACCAGTCGAAGTCAGAGAGCCTAGTTTGTGATACTCTCATGAAAGTGGGCCGATAAACGATGAAAGGAGAAGGCAAGAGCTCGACGAAGTCGACGGACGGAGAGATATGGACTACATAAGGATGGTCGCCCAAACACAGCAGGCAGAATGATATTATAACAAAAAAGCCAAGATCAGACCACTCAAAGTCGGGGACTACGTGCTCAAGGCCAAAACACAAGCAAGTAAAGACCCGCGGGAAGGCAAACTAGGGACGAATTGGGATGGCCCATACAAAATCATGGCAGCAGCAAATAAAGGGTCATTTCAACTAAAAACAATGGAAGGAAAACTACTACCGAACAACTGGAACGTTGCCCATCTCAAGTATTTCAACTTTTAAGAAAAAACGTCCTCCAAGTCGTACTCTTTTTCCCTCACTTGAGTTTTTTCCGAATCGGGTTTTCTCGAGGAGGTTTTTAACGAGGCGACAAGGGGGACACTTCCAAATCGAAATGTGAAAGGAAAGAGACACTGGGTGGTTAGTTCATTGACCAACCTCTCAACACGTCTCCAAGTCAACCAATGAAGGGACTAGATAAACTGGGACTGGAATGCCAGCCCGAAAAACATGTACATTTTTCCAAGTATGAGCGAAACACAAATGTATGAAGTCTGCCCATGTTCTCGCCAGAACAACATCGCCTCAATATCAACCCGTCCCCTGGCCATAATTAAGTAAATAACATTCGACCTCGTTCGAATTAACTTTTATTCAACCTCATTCGAATTAAACTACATTCGACCTCGTTCGAATTAAACCACATTTGACCTCGTTCGAATTAACTCAGATTCGACCTCGTTCGAATTAACCCACATTCGACCTCATTTGAATTAAACTACATTCGACCTCGTTCAAATTAAACCACATTTGACCTCGTTCGAATTAACTCATATTCGACCTCGTTCGAATTAAACTACATTCGACCTCGTTCAAATTAAACCACATTTGACCTCGTTCGAATTAACTCATATTCGACCTCGTTCGAATTAAACTACATTCGACCTCGTTCGAATTAAACCACATTCGACCTCGTTCGAATTAACTCACATTCAACCTCGTTCGAATTAAACTAAATTCGACATCGTTTGAATTAAACTACATTCGACCTCGTTCGAACTAACTCGCATTCGACCTTGTTCGAATCGACTCACATTCGACCTCGCTCGAATCAACTCAATACAGGTTACGTTTGACCTCGTTCGAATTAACACCTGCTAATCCACGACCATGGCCAAAACCAATTTTTTATGATTAAAATGACATTTCTTACTTCAAATATTTTCCTTGCAAAAGCTAAAACAGATGCCAGTAAAAGTATGTACAAGAATTACAAGCAAAAGAAAGAAAAACAACTACATGCTACCTAACTCAGCTACACCATCTCCACCCATTTCTCCACCTTCACTGTCGGGATACTCATCGTCGCACCAAACATCCTGATCAATCCTTTCCACATCTTCCTCAGCATCACCAGCTTGTGGTGTGGCGGAGTCATAGCCACAAGCAAACTGAGTTGCACGTGCCTTAGCACGTGTATTCGCTAAGTCGGCTTCCGAAACAGCCCCCGTCCCCATCAGATCCCTGAATATGTCCAACTAGGCCTCGGTGTGAATCCATTCCTCATATAGATCCCGAGGAACATCAGGAAAAGTAGTAAGGGAGGAGGATAGTTGCGCCAATAACTGTGCCTTCTCGGCCTCGAGGGCAACAACTCGATCACTAAGGTCCGCAGTCTCTTTTTCTAACTCCCCAATCCTCTCATCAAGTTGCTCCTCTCTGAGCCTGGCTGTCTCCATGGCGCAATCCCGTTCAGAACGAATAACACGAATTGCGTCCTCTAAAGCTGCAGCTTTATGCACAGCTGATAACTGGGCCGACTCCACCCTCTCCAAATCCGCTACCTTCTCGGTGACTTCGCCACTCAAAACGGCCGCTCGAAGTTGATACTCCTCCAGCCCGGCACGCAGCGAGACCACTTAGGACTGAAGGTCGGCGTACTGGGCCTCAACCACCCTACTCACTACGAGCTCTTCCTCTTTGTCCTTCAACGCCCCCTTGAGCTCACTAAATTTTCCGATGACCTTCACCAATTCGTCATCTTTCTCCTTTAGCGTGTTTCGGAGGGCCCGGAAGTTGCTACTACCACCAACTCGCCGGCAAAGCTCACGGTGCTTATCACGATATTCGCGATATTTCCGCTCTATCTTTTGGAAGATAGCCTTACGCCTCTCCTCTCGGAAGGAACTTTCAATCTCCAAGATCACGGTCTGAAAAGAAAGCCAGAGCGGGTAAGAACAAAGTCAAAATCAACATAAAAAGCAAATATGGAAACAGAATACCAAACATACCCTAAGAGCAAGGCCAACTATACTCTTCGACAATGTAGAATTCTTCAGCTTCTCGAGAGTCTTACCCTCCACATCGGAACAAAGTGTACCAAGAGAAGGGACCACATCTTCCGTATCAACTAATATGTCCCAGTCCAAAGGGATCGCAATGGTCCGCGTGCTCCCTTCCAACCTCACCTCAAGCAGGGTAAGTCTTTCCCCCATCATCCTAACTTTCTCGGCATCCATATCAGAGCCCGTCTCATAACCCTCTTCGGCAACACTTTTGCCCTTGTTGTCAACCCGAGAGGAAGGGCCCTCGGTTAGTAAAGAGATCGATGTCTCACCCCCTTGTAAGGCGTCGAGTATCCGCGCCAACGACCCTTCAAAACCCGTTCCGGTCTCAAGGAACAAAGTACATCCCTCGACCCCCGACTCCGGTGGGATCGTGGACGGATGCTCGGCACCAACTCTGAGATCTATAGTCTTCGTTTCTCTGATGATGAAACTATCCATCACCGAACTTCCCACGCGGACACTTCCTTCGCCGATACCGACAGATCGCCTCTTGTGACAAAGTAGATTATCATCAGTTGGTGACGATCCTTCCTCATCATCCTCATCAACTAGATTACTTAGAGGAGATGTTGAGACACCCATCGCAGTAGTCGACGAC